GAAAACGCTTGCTTTTTCCTTTAGGAAAACGCTTGCTTTTTCCTTTAGGAAAACGCTTGCTCCGTTTTCACATGATGGTATCTTGGGAGTAACCTCAGGGTGGTTTGGAGAAAGGGGCTGGAAGTCCAGTGTGCCATCTGGGTCCTTGCTAGTGTCTGCTCTGGACAGGCTGACTGGGCCTGGCTTGTGGCTGGCTCTGTCTGACTGTTCAGGCGTCATGAGTTTGTGCCCATAGGGAGCCCATAGGTGCAGCCTCTTCCTGACCACACAGCTCCAGGGAAGACAGCTGGCCCCAAGAACATCCCTACAGGACCCCATCCAGCCTGCAGGAACTTTCACATTCCCATCACCCACAGTCAGGCGTGGGGAACCAGGGGCATAGCCTTGGCTCGTCTCTGACATGCCTTCTCCATCCAGCAATGTGTTACTGCTCCTGCCTAGTGTGAGGTCTGGGCCGGGTGACCTGTGGGATGCCCAGCCCCTCCCAGACCCACCCGGTGGCAGGGGACCACCAGCTCCTATGCTGTTTTTATAGTCAGCCCCTCCCCTCCATGACCGTACACTTATGTGCTTTCAAAGCATATGTAATGTCACTTTATTGTTTTTCTCTGAATCCCATGATATCCATGATCTTACTTTGCCAGCCGTGGATTTAGAGCACAAACCCTCTACTGGTGAGAAAGACAAATCTATCTACCTACCTACTTGCCCTCACACCAGACAGACTTTTCGTTTTACATTTGTTTATACCCACTAGTTTTACAAAACTTTTTTCATGTCATCCAAACTGTTAGAGACCATCTGTCCTAGTCCATGGACAAAATCCCATGTTTTTAATCTGCCTTGTATAGTTGGAAGCTCAGCTATTTCTTGCACTTTGATCCTGTAAATAACCCTGCAGTGGACATCCTTGTTGCTCTGTCATTGTTTCATGTGCGTGTCCACGATGGTTTCCTGAAATCAGATTATGATAAGTGGGGTTGCTGGTGCAGAGGATGTTGCTGGTGCATGTTTTCAAGACTGTGCACATTTTCAAGGCTGATACAGAGAGGATGCTGAAGCCCTGCCTGATTTTGGATTTGGGCCTCCTTCTGTGGCTGTTTAGTGCTGGAATTGCAGTCAGCACAGATGTCGCAGTGACTTCAGGGAGGGCATCATGGGCTCTGGCCCTCTTTCTGCCATGGGGGAGTCTTCTCACCCTTTCTGCTCAGCACAGCCTGGGGGCTGCTTGCTTTAAAGAGTAGGGCCATGGTTTCTCTCTGCTGGCAGGAATTCATCTGTTATTGGTAAAGGGCAAAGGGCAGCCTGTGAAAGTCTCATGAAATAAACATTTCCCTGTGAAGTTATTCTGGGTGTGTGTGTCTGAAGACAGGTCCTGGGGGCTATTTAAACACACACAAAGACAGAGTTGCATTGTGAAGTCTGGTGGGTTTCAAGAAGGAATTCAGATTGGTTCTATTTTCCATCCCCCAAATATTTAGGGATTTTTTTCTTCTGGAAGTTACATAGCAGTCTGCCCAGGGGGAGCTGGCTGTTCATGCATGCTGCCTGGTGGGGGTCATGTCCAAGGGCCCCCCCAATAAGTCTTGCTTAGTGCCCTGATGCTGGCCAGATTGCTTTGTGGAAGTTAATGAGGCCAAAGCCAGAGCTGGCCCAGCCCACTGAGCCGCTCAAACCCAAGGTGACCTCGTGGTCTAAATGCAGCCGCCCAGAGCCTGCTCTTCCTGAAACTCTTCTTCATGAAAAATTCATTTACCTTTGTTTCTTCCATCTCTTACCATCTTCCTGTGAATTCTCTGGTGGGGGCGGAGGAGGGTGCTGGTGCTTTTTAAGACTTCATGAATAATGTTTCCAGAAAGTTTTGAGCTGGAAAGTGATTTACTGGATACCACGGTCTATTAATAGGATTTTTAAAGCTCAAAAGTAAGAGACAGTGGGGAGTTGTTTCTCAATGGGTATAGAGTTTCAATTTTAGAAGATGAAAAAGTTCCAGAGATGGATGGTTGTTTACTGGTTAAGATGGTAAATTTTATATTGTGTGTATTTTTACCACAATTAAAAAATATACATATTGTTAATAAAAATAAATAAGTAAAAGTCTTCTTCCCCAAGTTTGAATGGACTTAACCATTTTGTACTAAAGATCTACATTTACCAGAATCTGGGGAGAGCTTCTGAAGGTCAATTTTTAATAATGAGGGGTTCAGATTAAAACACACACCTGCAGACTTCAAGATCACATCCTTGGTGGTCTGCATGGTTCTGCTGTTACACACAGCACTGCAGTGACGCTGCCTGGTTTTTCAAGAGACCCGGTGAGCTCTGCACAGTTTCCCCACAGGGACATGGGGCTGTGCGCAGAGCCCTGGGAAGTCCACGTGTGAGTCCCTGGGGCTGCCCAGCGCCTTCTCTTTTGAACATGTGACGTTGACCTCTTTGGGGAGGTTGCCTCCCCTCTCTCACTCTGCCCTGCACCGAGGTGTCCAGGTCCTTGGATTTGATTCAGAGAACCTGGAGATGAGCTGCAGGGAGGTCCTTGAGTGAGCAGGAGGTTCCAAAGGGCGGTGCCCCCACATCAGGCCCGTGCCCCCACATCAGGCCCGAGTGAAGGGCTCTGTGTCCTTCCTCCTGACAAATGCACCCTCCCACTCCACGATTACTAGTTCACACGTTATTGAAACATTATTTTAATGGTGAGGCCACCACCAACTTGCTGAACGGTAATGATGTTTCAGCCCCCTCACTCCTCCCCTCAATATGTAAAAATTGGGGGAAGGAGGGGCTGTTGTGCTGTTGGGTTGTCATAGGTGCAGAGACTGTTTTGTTGTTGTTGAACTTTATGTAATCATTTAATTAATCTTTATATTTTAAATTGACAGATATGTGATGCTTTGATCTATGTCTACATTATAGAAAGATTCAGTCAAGCTAATTCACAGATGCGTTACCTCACCAATTTATCTTTTTATTCATGGCGAGAATGTTAAAAATCTGTTTTAACAATTTTGAAATACATAATACATTTTTGTTAACAGTGGTCACCACACAGTATAAGAGATCACTAAAACTTATACCTCCGGTCTAACTGAAACTTTGTATCTTTTGATCAACCTTTACATTTTCCCATGCCTCCCCCGCCCCCCAGCCCATGGTAACCACCTTTCTGCTCTTTGTTTCTATGAAATCGACTGTTACAGACACCACATATACGTGAGATCAGATCGGACAGCATTTGTCTTTCTGTTCCTATCTTATTTCACTTAGCATGATATCCCCCAGTTCCATGCATGTTGTTGCTAATGACAACATTTCCTTTTTTAAGGTTGTGTAGTATTCCATTGTGTGTATATACCATGTCTTCTTTATCCATTCATTCCTGATGGACACTTAGGTTGCTTACATATCCTGGCTATTGTGAATAGTGCTGAGGTGAACATTAGACTGCAGGTATTTCTTTGATAGACTGATTTCTCTACCTTTGGATATATATCCAGAAGTGGGATTGCTGCATCATATGATAATTCTATTTTTAGTTTTTTGAGAAACCTCCATACTGTTTTCCAAAATGCTTGTACTAATTTACATCCCACCAGTAATTTTAAATAAATCTCTTTGCTTTGCAAAGTTAGGCCACTAGTGTGACTGTTCTCTTGTGCTAAGGAATCGAT